TCCAGAATTCTAATAAGATCTAAAAAAAATAAAAGCATGTATTATAAAATAGCTAAGACAATTGTACTACTAATCACTATTAGTTCACCAGATGGGACCCCATTGGTGCTTATCTACTTGAATGAATTCTGCCTGCCCAAATCTGGTAATCTGAGCAACTACTCTGAAGATAACAATATGCAAAAGAATAACCATTGTTAATTTCAAATCATCTTGTTTTGAAATTCTATATTGTTCTAATTGGGTTTTTGTTCTCTTTAAAAGAAAAGAAAGAAAAAAAGCATGTGTCCTGTCCTTACCATCCAGAGCTGTATTGACGTGCCAAGAAGAAATCTGGAAACACGTCAACCACACTGATCATATACATAGTGCTTTCAGTAAATAGTATTCAGCTAACTGCAAGCAGCTGTCACTTGGAGCTCTGGAAATGTGTGGTCGGGTCACTTCCTTGGTGTTCACTAAACTGCCTCTAGTGAAATGATCTGGAATAGGTTACCCATGCTTATGGCGTGGGGAAACACTACTCCTTAACTCAGGAAAGAAACGCCAATCCTACATGAATGAATTCTGATTTGGAAACAAAACACAACATTGAACTCCTATGCGATTAATAGATAGTGTGTGGACAGTCATGCCTGCCACAGCTCTCTGCTTCAACCACTACTTTTCCTCCAGAAGTTTTTCAGGCGAGACAAAAGCAATCTTTGACTGTCCTCTGAAATGTTGGTAGGCCCTCACTAGAGGAGAGGGGAACACCTATGAAGACCAGTGATGCATCCCTCACCACGGGTTGCTCTCAGCTCCTCCACTAGGTAGTGGGCTTCCTCTTGAATACGGCTCTCAATGCTCCTTTTGCCCATCCCAAAGTTCCGCAGGGTCATGAGGGTGAAGCGCCGAGTATCTTTCCATATGTTTCCATTGCTAAAAACAATTCCTAGAAGGGAAGGAGGGACAAAAACCGCATATAGGCAAGAGACAGCTGACAAGTGGCACCCAAATAGTTGGGTAAGCTCTGCCTGAGGAGCTCTTCCAAACTTTACCTCCATCTCCTCATCCCACCAT